TGCCCCCAGCTTTCACTGCTGAACCATATTTTCCTAGAATCTTCCTTCATTTTTTCCATCTTTTCCTTTTAAGAAAACAGTATCTTAATTTATACAATCAGGATAAAGTTTTTAACATATATTGTGTGGAATCTGCTGGACTTGCAGAAATTACAGTGCTGCTAAGCAGGGTTTCTTTATGCGGAGAAAGGTAGGGAAATTTGAGTCGCAAATGCTTTTGTTTTCCTCATTTTTGTGAGGCTGCTAGCAAATTACAGGTGTAATAGTGGAAAATGTATGCTTGGAGGGACATCCCTACTGTTAAATCCAGGAACACAGTTTTTCCACTAGTTACACTTTTATCTTACAATAATTTAATTTGGATCATTTCTGCCTTGTCTGCTCATGAGAAAGTCATGTTTAAGAGTGTGAAAAATCTTAATATAGTTAAAATATATGTCATCAGCTGTTTCTCTCTTAGTATGCCGACTGCTATGTTAAGGAAAGGAATTAGGTCAGAAATAATTTGTGTTTGACAAATTCACGGTGCCTGCTTTTACCATCATGTTATCTTCTAAATACATGCAAAGAAAATGTTCAAGTAATTTTTTCCAGCATCTTTCTTGGGACTGGAAGTGGGCAGTTTTATTTGTCTCTACTTCTACCTCTGAAAGACGGTTACTGTGTTAACGGCAGAAAATAAATTCATCAACAGTCTCCCACATAGAGAGACAAGCATGCGTCAGTGATACTCAGAGGTGACAGCTAACTGATTTCATTTTCCCAAAAGTGCCACATTTATTTCAGTAAAGTGGTTTAAATGAACATCACCGTATACATCTACACACTGTAGCACACATTAACGCGGTGCTCCCTCATTGCAGGTCACAGTGCTGTTGACATTACCAAGGTAGCAAGAAGACACCGCATGTCTCCATTCCCATTGACATCTATGGACAAGGCCTTCATCACAGTTCTGGAGATGACTCCAGTGCTTGGAACAGAAATCATCAATTACAGAGGTATTTTAAGGAGGATTCTTTGTGAGGATTAGGGTGGTTATTTCCTTATTTTACAACCTTCTTAAGTAATTGCTCTTTTGTTAATGTCGTCTGAGGTGTCTGAGACACCACCCTCTCCAGGAGAAACTGCTTTAGGAAATGCCAATAGCAGGAGCAGAAGTCTCCTTTCCAAGTCAGGAGAATGTTGACTGAGCTCAGTGCTGCTCCCTGAAGGAATCTGTAATGGAGCTGTAATTAAATATATAGATGAATTTTCTTCTAGTTTTATATGCAACAAAGCTAAATCATAGAAACCACAATATGCCTTAGTGGTTAACACTGGACTTCTGTAGGGGTGACGTAGGTCCAGGCTGCACTGTGATTGTTCACTCTGTTCTCTTACTATTGGAGATTCTCACTAAACCCCCTTTCCAATCTGAGATTAATGATGAAATAAAAAAATACATTATATATGTATATGTGTGTGTGTACATGTGTGTGCTCATGTATGTTTGCTAAAAAAAATGTTCATTTTGAAGAACACAATCTTATGAATTAAGAACCAGCTTTTCATTTAGTTATCTGTTAATTTATTTTTCAGTTAATATACCTGTAATTTCAGGAGATAATAAAAATGTAGTCTTGGAGGTCTGAATGCCACCTAACTCTACTCAGAAAAGCATTATTGTGCTGTGTTTGGATTTTTTTGTGATTTTCTGTCTTGAATTAACACTGGGGTCCTTAAATTTATCTTTCAGGAGCACAGTTT